GCGGTCCGCTCCGGAATCCACCCGCGCGCACCTCTCTGTCCCCTTGGGTCTCGAGACGCATTCTCCCCGCTGCTCTTGGGCGTTCTCAGCCATCGTCGGCCTCTGGGGCTGGAGGAAGGTGATGGAGCGCGCGCGACAGGAGGGTCGTGCCGCGCGAGAGCTCTCCGAGGACGCGCTTGCCCACCCGCTCCCAAACCGTCCTCCCCGTGAAAGGGAAACGGGTAGGGGGGTGGGCGACGTTTGTATCCAACTCGAAACCACGAGATGAGTCCCTGCCGTTGTGCACCCACCAGCCAGCACATTCCCTCCTCGGGGTCCATTCATTCCCCCCCCTTTAAACCTCCCCGGCGAGCGCACCAAACCTCACGGTAGCAGTCCGGCTTGTCCATGCCTCTGCGCCCCGAGACCTGCTCTCGCCCGGCCTTTCTGCCAGCCGCCGCCGCCGAGAGCCCTCTTACCTTGGTTTCTCCTCTCCAGGAGGTGAAAATTCGGGAACAAAAAGCTTGTGCACCCTAAATATTGATGAAGGAGTAAACACAATGCCTAGATGTTGTCAGGCAAATTTTAAAAGACATCGACTTTGTGAGTCTTTAAACAGGTTTAGGTAACAGACGCAGCTCTGTTATCTTAGCCTTTCTTAGCCTTACATTATGTAAATTATAAAACTTAAGATAAAAGTAAGGTAAAGTCATATTCCCAGCATGGCTAAGAATGTGAATAAGCTCAGCTACATTACTATTGTGATAAATGTTTCTAGATGAGGAAGAACAAAGGCAACAGATGACCTGCTGACTTCAAAGACGAATTTCCAAATAACGCTGTCATTCCTTACTATCAGGTCCCACCCAGATAGGTGTTAACCTGAAATGCTAACCAGTTTCTCTTCACGTATGCCTTAGCAACAACTTTCCAGCCTTCCTTTCTCTGTCCGCTTCCACAGTCTATTGTTGCCCATATTTCCTCATCAGTCTGCTTTTTAGCTGGATTTCCCTCTGAGTAATGAATATCTTTTAAGAACTATATATAGCATTACCTCGGGTGCTAACTTGTGAAACCAGACTACCTGGGTTGGATTTCTGGTTCCACTATTATGTGATATTCAAAAGCAAGTTACTTTCTGTACCTTCATTTGCTCAATGCAAGTAAGGATAAAAATACTTGCCTACTTGGCTGAGTTCTTACACTGCCCAGTCCCTTAATGAATAAGTATACTTAGTATCTTGTAAAAATTACAGCCAGAGATAAGGAGACTTTGTTTCGCTCACTTTGGATATGTTTTCAGGAGGGACCTAGAGAAGGACATCAAGTTTGATAAATAGAACCAAACCCAAGGCCTTCGGGTTGATTTGAACTCCTTGAAAAACAAACAAACTCAAATCTGGCTGGACCAGAGGATTACACTGGTACAGATAGGAAATGGAAACACAGGGAATCCGGGGCGGATGATCCCTTCAGGACCAGTGGCGAGAGTGGCGATCCTGGGAGAGTGGGTTGGAAAGAGGGAACCTATCACAAGGATCTACATGTGACCTCTTCCCTGGAGGACAGAAACAGAAAAGTGGGTGAAGGGAGACGTCGGACAGGGCAAGATATGACAAAATAATAATTTATAAATTATCAAGGGTTCATGAGGGAGGGGGGAGCAAGGAGGGAGGGGGGAATGAGCTGATGCTAGGGGCTTAAGTGGAGAGCAAATGTTTTGAGAATGATGAGGGCAATGAATGTACAGATGCTTTACACAATAATGTATGTATGGATTGTGATAAGAGTTATATGAACCCCTAATAAAATGATTAAAAAAACAAACCAAAACACTGCCATCAAGTCTATGCTGACTCATAGCGACTCTCCTATTCATAGGACACAGTAAAACTGCCCCGTGGGTTTCCAAGATGAACTGTTTGTGGAGTAGAAAGCCATGTCTTTCTCCCAAAGCATGGCTGGTAGCTTCAAATTGCTGGCCTTGCAGTTAGAAGCCCAATGTGTACAGCCCCTTTATAGGGTTGCCAAGACTGAAAATCTTTATGGTGCAGGCCACCTCATCCATCCTCCCGTGGAGCAGGTTTTAGGTAAAGTGTGACAAACCAAAACAAAAAGCACTGCCATCTAGTTGACCTGACCCAGCCCGATAGGCCTCCCAAGGCCACGAATCTTTATCATAGCAGATGGCATCCTCTTGCTCCTGTGAGTGGCTGGTGGTTTGTGCTGACCACTTGTGGTTGGCAATCCCACTGTTATCTGACAGGGTTCCTTGGGTAAAGTATAGGGTCAGAGAAGGAGGAAGACCCTCAAGGTGGATCGAATTTGTTTGAGATTTTTTTGGGTATCCACCCTACAGGAGCCCTGGAAATGTAGTGGTTATACATTAGGCTGCATTCCACAAGGTCAGCAGTTTTTTTGGTTTGTTTTGTTTTAACAAATCATTTTATTGGGGGCTCTTAAAGCCCTTATACCAATCCATACACCAATTGTGTCAAGCACATTTATATATATGGTGCCATCATCATTTCCAAAACATTTTCTTTCTACTTGAGCCCTAGGTATCAGCTCCTCTTTTTCCCCCTCCCTGCCCTACCCTCCCACCTTGCCACCCTTGTGAACCCTTGATAATTTCC